GGCCCTGTAGCTGTGTATTGGCCCTGTAGCTGTGTATTGGCCCTGTAGCTGTGTATTGGCCCTGTAGCTGTGTATTGGGTGGGGGGGGGGGGGATTTAATCAGGCGATGGATCAAAGATCAAAATTGTAGAAGGTTGATCGATGTGATAATGAATATTGAGTTAGTAACAGAGAGGGGTGACGGGGGTATTTTAACGGTTTGTTGCAGGTCGAAACTTTAGGTAGACCTATTTGAGTACATATTGAACTTATTTTACATAGAACTTTTCATTTTATTTGACCTACTTTATGTAGAACTATTTCATTATATTGGACCTACTTTATGTAGATCTATTCCATTATATAGGACTTACTTTATGTAGAACTATTTCATTATATTGGACTTACTTTACAAAGACCTATTTGAGTACATTGGACTTAATGTACATAGACCTATCTGAGTACATTGGCCTTACTTTACATAGACCTATCTGAGTACATTGGACTTACTTTACATAGACCTATCTGAGTACATTGGACTTACTTTACATAGACCTATCTGAGTACATTGGACATTTAAATGGTCGGTATGTAATCAAGGGCGATTACCTATCAATTGAACGACCCAAAAATAGAAGACGTGATGTTTGGCGTTCATCTTCAAAATCACCCCCCCCCCGGCCCTCCATAATAGTTATATTTTTCTTCTCTTATTGTCAACATTTCTATTTTTAATGTATTCATTTTCGTTGTAAGTAACACAAAAAAATTAATTAACAATAATCATTATATAGATGGGCTAGTAGAAAAATGTAAGACTGAGAATGTAGAATGAATTTGGCGGGTGTTTGAATGTGTCCAGACCCTACCATCCCCCCTACCAACCCGGCAGTCTCAGTGGTGTATCAACCCTTTCTCCGATCGGCTCATGACATGTGGTGCTCTAATGTCACCTCCTCCTCAGATGTAACAGTATCGTTCGTGTTAACAGAGTCCAAGACCTGTTGAAATCAAGAGTTTAAATTATTCTCTCTCTCCCTCCTCCTCCCCCTCTCACAAAGACCCCCCCCCCCAACACACACACACACATTTGCCCCCGGGGCGTTTTACTTCCGTCTCGATTAAACACTTTAAACACGCCTGACCCCAGTATTGCGTTATACATGACACACAACATGTGTAGACCAACATTACACACATCATGTAGACCTACATGACACACATTTGCAGGCATACATTACTTGGCTGTATCCTCATGTCTGACTGTCATTCTGTGGTATGTATATGGGGATCTTAAACATGCACTGTGAATTACTGCTAATGTAAGTTTCTTACTGTAAGTTTGTTACTGTAAGTTTGTTACTGTACGTTTGTTATTGTAAGTTTGTTATTGTAAGTTTGTTACTGTAAGTTTGTTACTGTAAGTTTGTTACTGTAAGTTTCTTACTGTAAGTTTCTTACTGTAAGTTTCTTACTGTAAGTTTCTTACTGTAAGTTTGTTACTGTAAGTTTCTTACTGTAAGTTTCTTACTGTAAGTTTCTTACTGTAAGTTTGTTACTGTAAGTTTCTTACTCTAAGTTTGTTACTGTAAGTTTCTTACTGTAAGTTTGTTACTGTAAGTTTCTTACTGTAAATTTGTAACTGTAAGGTTGTTACTGCAAGTTTGTTAATGTTGTAGTTTTTTGTTACCGATATAGGTTTGTTTCTAATGTAGGATTGTTACTGACGTAGGTTTGTTACTGACGTAGGTTTGTTACTGACGTAGGTTTGTTACTGATGTAGGTTTTTCACAGTTTGTGTGTCCCTGCCCGTAGGTTGGAATCCTGAGTATAACTTATAGTTAATTAGAATCACTTCAGTCTTCATGTAGGATGGTGTGGCAACACTGCATGTGGACGTTGTTCATTAAGTGTCATCAATAATCTAGTTTTTGGATTCTGGCTATTCTTACTGAGCAGTGGTCAAAAATGGCCCCGAGTTTTGCGTGATGTAATACAAACGTTACGCTTCATTGAACTCACGGGGAAACCTTATTCAATGATGGTTGAAATACAATGATGGTTGGATGACTATGAAGTGTGGAATACAATTTGTTTGTATGATTATGATGGTTGGATGACAAGTATGGTAAGATGACATTGGTGGTTCGATGACACCGATGGTTGGATGACATTGATGGTTGGATGACAATAATGGTTGGATGACAATGATCTTTAGATGACATTAATGGTAAAATGACATTGATGGTTGGATGACAATAATGGTTGGATGACAATGATCTTTAGATGACATTAGTGGTGAAATGACATTGATGGTTGGATGACAATGATCTTTAGATGACATTAGTGGTGAAATGACATTGATGGTTGGATGACAATGACGGTTAAATGACATTGATGTTTGGGTGACAATGATGGTTGGATGACTGATGACAAGATGACATTGGGGGTTGGATGACACACTGATGGTTGGATTTCAATGATGGTTGGATAACAATGATGGTTTAATGCCATTGATAGTTGGATGAAGATGTTTATAATTAAAGTACAAGCATGTGAAATAAAATATTTTAAAAACTTTTTTTCAACTTTTCTTTACAGTTCATGTGTCACAGTATCCTGAAGGCCCTTGCTGTCACAAAGAACAGCGGTGACAGTCCCAAGGTCACAACCTTGACAGCCCCAAGGTCACAACCTTGACAGCCCCAATGTCACAACCTTGACAGCCCAAGGTCGCGACCTTGACAGCACTTACGATCCCAACCTTGACATCCCCAAGTTCACAACCTTGACAGCCCCAAGGTTACACCTTGAGTTACGAAATGTCTGAAACTTGTGTAAAATTATCTTTTATTGAACTGTTCGAAGAGTCCAATGTCTTATTGGTCAATTTCTTAAAGCTTACTGGACCATTCATATGTCACTGAAAACAATTATAAATGGCAGCATCTCCTTATGACGTCATCTGCTCCCTCTAGCGCATGTCTCAACGCCTTTGTAGTGTGGTCCGGCTGGTGTCAAGGTGGGCTGTCTAAAGTCACACCTAGCGTGGTCCGGCTGGTGTCAAGGTGGGCTGTCTAAAGTCACACCTAGCGTGGTCCGGCTGGTGTCAAGGTGGGCTGTCTAAAGTCACACCTAGCGTGGTCCGGCTGGTGTCAAGGTGGGC